GTATAAAGCATCAGACAGTGTTATCCAGCTCTGCTCTCCAAGAGCAGATTAACTCACAGTCACGCAGATCACAACCACCCAAGCGATGAATGTGTTTGTCTTTATATTGCTCGCTCTGCTGTGGGATGTCATTGACAATGTCTGACAAAGATCTCATAAAAAAGTGTCTGACTTTTGCTTCAGTTAGTTTTATGGTACAAAACCTGCAGATGTTTTTGATTTGGTTGTGCGTGCTCCACATTCTGGATGATGTTAAGTTTTGGAAATGACATCGAAGATATTTAACTACTGGGCGGATATTTGTAATTGTGTGTAATAAGATTATTTTTCCAGCCTCAAATGTAAAAGAAAAAAAAAGAGGGAAAAAACAATATGTCAAAGGAGAAAACAGAGGAACAAGTTGTTTTAATTGTGCCTGTGAGAAACTGATAGTGTTTTTAATGCAAACATGGAGCTGTAATTACATGACCGTGTGTTCTTTACGGCTGAGGCGCTCACCTTTTATCTCTGCTGCAGCATTAAAAGGTGCCGCTCTGACCTCTGCTGCCGCATTAACCTGATCCGAGCCAACAGTAACAGAGTGTCACAGTCTCCTGCTGAAATGAACTGTCAGTGTTTATGAACGGTAAAAACTGCAAATGAATACAGCAGTTTAACAGGCTCCAAAGGCTCAGTTCAGATTAGAGCGTAATGAAATGACCAAATGTATCTCGGAGGGCCCTGTGGGTTCCTGTGCGGGACCAGCTGTTGGTTTCTGCTCTCCGAGAGTCCCGGGAACTCGCACTTTGATGCTACAGTTTAAGGTCTTAATTAAATAATTATTTAATTAATTAAATTTCACTCACGTGGGACGGTAGCGATGCACATACGGCATTCTGCAATAGTTTACGCTGCATCACAAACGCACGACTGATAACATTTTTCGGCCTCACGCGAGCCGACTCCCACAGTTTTTAGCACTTTATCATTTCTCTGATCCGGTAACGGTTTGTTTTTCCACATTTATTCTCTAATCATGATTACTGGCCAGTAGATTAGCGGGTATCTTGTGAGCTTTCTTAACAGCGCACCCTTCAGCTAAAGAAAATTTATCAGAAGTGAGGTGAGCTACACTCGCAGCGGTGATGCAATCTGCTGTGCCATACCGTCGAACCTCACTCGCTGAAAAAGCCTCGGGCAGCGGTTTGGAGAAGCGAAATGTTTGCAGCGCTACTTTAAAATGTACTGCGATTCCTGAGTGTGTGAGAAATGTGGAAAAAGCTGCATGACCATGCAATTGAAACGCATGATGTCGTAGAATAGAACAGAATACTCGACACCTCCCAGCTCGCTCAATCTTTAGTCTCTCATCTGCTCGCTGCGCTGCTGCACTGCTGTACTGACTTTCTGTGTTTGTTTCTGTGTGTGCTTCCAAAGGTCGGCGGTCACACCATGCTGCCCATCCGCTGGATGCCTCCTGAAAGCATCATGTACAGGAAGTTCACAACAGAAAGTGATGTGTGGAGTCTAGGAGTTGTTCTCTGGGAGATCTTCACCTACGGAAAACAGCCTTGGTACCAGCTCTCCAATAATGAGGTACAGAACAGAAGTCCGTCCATGCATCCATCCATCCATCTATACACCACTTGATCCTCACTGGGGTTGGGGCTGGAGTCTATCCCAGCTGACTCAGGGCAAAGGCAGGGGACACCTGGACAGGTCACCAGTCTTTTCAATTCAATTCAATTCAATTTTATTTGTATAGCGCATATTTACAACAACACGGCATCTCATAGCGCTTCACAAAGGCAGAGACAGAAACACTCAACAATCCAAAACATTTGGATTCCCTATAAGCTTCAGCAGTCCGCAAGCAGTCCGCAACAGTGGGAAGGAACCGAAANCTTATTAGCCATTTTTAGTTAAACATTATGATGGATTTTTTTACTTAAACATGACGCTACAGTTCACATCCTTGTTTACATTGTTTAGTTTAGTTTATTTATTTTAAACTATAAAAAATACAGAATAAGCAATGGATACATAATACATAAGCATTACTGAGAATTTAAGTACAATACTCCATAAAAGAAAAAAAAAAAGGCAGAAAAGAAACTGATATTAACATAATAATGCACATACACATGTAAGTCAACATGAACCAGCAACCTTCTTGCTGTGAGGCAACGGTGCTAACCACTGCTCCACCTTGCAGCCTCCAATGAAAGAACAAATAAACAAAAAGAAAGAAAAATAAGACTGAGAACAAACTATAAGTCTTTACCCAGGGTGCTCATCATGGAAGCAATGCCACAAAACAACATCCCTCAAATCATCACACAATATCCACCTAAAATAAACGACCACAAGCGGCTACGTGCACACTTCTTAACCCACATGTTCTACCTCCATAAACATATATTACATAAGCATATATTAATAATAAATAAGAAACAATGTATGTATATTATTTTATTGTATTATTTATATAACCCTGATAACACTTGTCTATAGTGAGATATAAATGCTTTTATGTTACGGCACACTTGTAGAGGGATGTTCCACAGTTTTACTCCACTAACAGAGATACACATTCTTTTCAGAGTTGTACGGACCACTGGGTAAATGAACTTATGTTGCCCCCTAACGTTATAGATCCCCCCTCTCTGTCCAGTGCTTTTTGATTGAACGCTGCCACAGATGTTACTTAGTGAGTGAATTTACACATTACTTAAAGATTTATCAGCTAAGACATCGCTTGCAGCCCAACTGGAGTGCTGCTACTACTCCAGCTCGTGGTTACGTCCAGTCTGTCTTAGTGATTGATTTCCTAACAGCAGGTGCAAATCAATGCGCTGCAACACAACTGCAGCATATTGTAACAAACTGGAAGACTTTTTAAAAGGAAAGTCGGGCGGAAACTTGTAGCCGGTAACATCTTACCAATGGGAAAGTCAATAGTTTTTAAACTTACTCGTATCGGTGCCGTCTTTGACATGTGCGGACAAAGAAGTGACCTGAAAGTCTTAGAATGCAGTTGACAAATATAGATGTTTTCTTTGTTAGGGAGTAAATACCAGGTATGGAGTGGGTTTTGTGAGAGTGTGTGTGTTGGTACACAGCAGAGTGAAGTGAAGTAAGTCTTCTTTTAGAAATCCTAAATTGGATCTGAGTAAAGTTTTTCATAGAATAATTCATTGTGGAGTTTTTAAATTATCCATCCATTCATCGTCTACATACCGCTTAATCCTCACTAGGGTCACGGGGGG